AAACTGTGTGTGAATTTGCACCATTAAAAAAAATCAGTCTCTTTTCTTATTTGCTGGGATACATCCTGGGACTGGTGGTCTAAAGCACTGGTTGCAGAAGAGATGTTTGCCCAAATAGCTGCATTAGCTGCCTCTGCTTGTAATACTTTTTGGCAGTCATGACAAGTATGGGTAGAGAAAACAGAAGAAACATCTTTAGCCATATGTACTTCTCCAACACCAATTTCTTGCCATGAACCACATTTGTTTGCAGCAGAATGAGTTCATTATGGAGTGTTATGCTCAGATTAGTTATTCTAAGTATTTCCTGGAGTATTCTGCCTTGACGTGAGTGTTGGACATGGAGTATTAGAAGTATTTATCTGATTTTTCTGAAGTCATGTTTGGAGAATAAAAGTGAAAAATGTAGAGAAATGCTTGTAAAACTTTATTTTTGCCTGTTCATAAGGTGACTTTTTTAAAAACACAAATTATATAAAATCTCTCAAAGGGATTTGCAGATCATTAAACTCTTAAATGTAGCTTTAAATGCTTGAAAACCCATATGTTCTATATTTTTATAGAGGTTGTATAAAAATTTCTTTAAATGTATGAAATTTTGAAGAGTTGTGTTTTTAGTTGGTTTGTTTGTGTGGGTTTTTTTAATATTCCGATCCTAAATGTTTATCACATTAGGTGTCTGAAACTGTTTTTATGTAGCTCATACCTAGCAGGACTATGCATACATTTTTTTGCTTCCTCAGCCAAAGAAGTTTTCCTTAAAATAAACCAATTTTTACTTGGATCCCTCCCTAACAGTACTAGTGTAGTATGAAAAGCCAAAATTGCTGAAGGCTAAAGCTTGACCAGCAAAAGAATTGTCTGCAAATAGTCATGCATACCAAAGATCATGATTTCCTAAGGACTGCATCTAGTTCTTCTGTTGAATTTCTCCTGGAGACTTGTGCATGAAGTGGTGTGAGCAGCGTGGGATGATGTGTGACTGGCAACTAGAAGTGATGCCACTGATTCTTTATTTGGGATGTACTGGAGAAAAAACCCTTCCCCAGTAATTGAAGAATGTTTTCAGTCTTTCAGCCAAAAACATTAATCTTGTTTGCATGTCCTTTTTTTGTTCATTTGTTTTGAAGAATGGAATTTTTAAGAATGGAATTGTGGGGTTCTGTAGTCCATTTGTTTAAAAGAAATTATTCAGATCTGGAGCAGACAAGTATTGCAGGCAGCTGTGGAGTTTTCTCAGAGCTTTGTCTGGCAGAGCACTCCCTGGCCTCTGCTCAGGGATACCAGCTGCTGTGGTGGGAGCCTGCAAGGAGTGGCGAGGTGCCATCTCTCCTCTTTCCGGCTGTGGCAGCAGATGTTGAGCATAGCTGAGTCCCTCAGACTTGTGTGCTTTTTTACACAATATCGTTGGAATTTGTTCACTGTGCTTTTATGATTTAGATATACAGAATGAGTTTTTTAACAGAGAGTTTTTTCCATTTTATAGACTCCGAGACAGTGATGAACTTGCTTGTCCATCCCCAGAATACTCTGGAGACTGTGATTTTCCTCTAGCAGTATGTTAGACCAGCAATTCAGAGATTATGGTACTTCCAGATACACATCCTTGCTGTACCTTTTCACCTTCCTCCTCATTTCTTCCTTCCCCTTTCACAGACACAGGAGGCTCAAATATACATGCAAGTACTTGAGCTTGAGTACTGCTGTTGGTGGTTGTCTCCTGAACACCTGAAGTCTTATGAGCCTTGATTTTTCCCTTCCAGAGACTCTTCCATGAAAGAGTCACTGAGATAGAGAACCTTGGATGTGGGCATAGTTTCCTCTTCTAAGCCAGCCTCCTTCTGTATGCTCTTAGGCTGATACTTCTGTGGCACACCAACAGGAGGAGATGAGCTATCCTTCCAAATGAGTCGGAGTTTTTAAAAAGAAAGTTTTGATTTACTAGAACAAAAGATGGCTAGGACTTGGGAGAAATTGGAGAAGGATCTCTGCAATGAATACTGGCTGCCCTTTTAGTAAAGCTGAATCTCATTAGTGCATGGACAGGATGCACATATTGCTTTAGTACACTCTCTTTTTCTAGAGCGGTTTATATAAACCTAGCAATTATATGAGCTTTGGGTATTCTATCTGAAGAAAAACTGTGCCAGGGCAATCTAGTTTATACTAAGAGAGGAAGCTTGTCTCTGTTCCCTGTGAATAGAGGCTAAGATGGCTCTTGAAGTATTTTGAATATGCTCTCTGTCTTTTCAAGCACCGCTTAAAAATTCAGTTGAAAGCCAGTGCAAAAAGCTGTCTGATACAACATGATGCTGTGCTGTTTATTCTGTTTTGTTCTTTTTCAGTACTGCAGCTGAAGAAGGGTAGTGATGTATGTGTAACTGCATTACACCAACATTGTAGGTGAGGGGCTTTGGGAGATTAGAGATTACGAGCAGAGGACTGACAGTTAAGAGTGGAGTTGATAAACCCACAGACATTAAATAATGAAAGAGTACTGAATGATGTGTGGTAATAGAAATCACTGCCACAATTGCAAAACGTCACAACATTACAAATGGAGAGACAAATTCAAAATTAAATGTATTTGCAATGAGTTAAATTTCTTGAAAACTCAGCTTTCTGTGTAAATCTGAGCATATGAAAGAGTATTTATATGTAAAGAGCAAAAAAGTAAATTAACCAAAGTTTTGACTTTTGAGAAAGGAAGGTAAATAAGGTGGCCGAAGAATAACTTAGTTTTGCCAAAAGCAAACCAGAGCATATAATGAAACATATGAAATACAGCTCTTGAAGAATTGCAAACTCTTACCTGGGAAGATTGATAATAACTATACTTTTTATCTTTGTGATGTATATGAAGCATAAAGCAGTGAATAAATCAAAACTAATTTGGCAGAGGCTAATATTTATGGTTGTGGTCTCTTGCCCTTATGCTGCTTTTAGATTGTTATACTGTTGTTCTTGAAAAATTTGTTTGTAATCCAAGCTACAGAATAAAAATATGTAGATAGTTGATAATAGTTTGGATGCTAGATGGCAGAAGTCTGTCCCATCCAGGTGTGCACAAAATATGCCTCTCTGGGAGGGAAAGGAGTGTGTAAACCAAGCTGGACCTAGAGCCCTCTCTGCTGGATGGCCGGGAAACAACACTTCAAGCAGGAAAAAATAAGAATTTTTATCTAGAAAAGAAAATCCGAGGCTAGTGCAAGAAATCTAGACATAAACCATAAGTCCTACATAGTTGAAGTCTTCCCTATTATAAGCAGATGGAATAGGATACACTTATTTCATAAAATGGCCTTGTCTTATTAAATTATCAGGTGATATATTTTAATGATAATTCTTTTCTTCTGAGTAAATATGGGATCTGAGAGGGAAAGAAAAGAATTAATATTTCATCCTGGAAATCTGAAGAATTAATAATATCTGTGCCAAAGAGGAATATTCAAGTAAAGGATTTTCTAACCATATAAATCCTAGGGATGTAGGTGGGTGCTGTGTTTTCGTAGTAACCAAAGAAATTAACACTTACTATAAAGCTGTAGTAATACATGGAGAATAGACTATTCCAAGATGAAGTACTCTTTGAAAAAGGCATTTGGCAAGATGTGACACATGTGTATGTTTTAAAATAAGATGTATTTTCCAGTAAGGGGGGGAAACCCTATTATAGTAATTAAAGTCCATATTTTATTCCTAATGTAAAGCCAAACACAGACATTCAGAAATTTTTTCATTCCATTTGACTAATGGAAACAGGGGAAAGGAGAATTGCAGAGAATAACTGGATTGTCACTTTACTACTAGCTTGAGAAGATCCATTAAAACTATGCAACTCCCTGAAGTCCAGTCACTTGGAACTGATTCTGAAGTGTGCGTGAGCACACGTGGCTTTTTTAAGCCCAGAAAAGTCTAGTGGAGATAAGGGGGATCAACACTGAATAAACTTGTGACGAGTGTTGACTCTTACTTCTTCCGTGATTTTTCAAGATGGGATAGCAGCTGAAGACATTCATGACCTATCTGGCCACAGAAAGTTCATTAGGGAAAAAAATGCAACCTTTGTGTACACATTTGGGAATGAAATCTCACATACATGGAGAGCTACAGCAAAACAGTTGCTCACCTTTATTAAACTTGCTTTCCCTTCATTTCCTGTCTAGGGAAGGAGAAACACATTTTGGAAATGTTTGATGTTTTGTAAAGGGTTCATTGTAAGATATTTCTTTTTCTTGAGTCATCATTTCACTTAAGGTAACAACTTGATTAATGTAATTATAGAGCAGATAGTGTGATGGGGTTGCTTTAGGGCTTTGTTACTACTTTTTTCAAGTCACAGTCACATAACCTCTTCAAAATTTAGATTAAAACTGGTGTATGAAATGTAGCCTAGTAAGATACAGGAAGATTTTGTAATATATTTTTGTTCCATACAAATCAACCCTATGAGGTGACTATTTCTGAGAAAAAAACAACAAAAACAGAAACAAAGAAGAACCTGTCTAGGTAAGCAAGCTAACTGGCTGTAGTTAGCACAGCAGAGTAAAGCTTCAGCAGCCAGAGTGCTTGATGCTGGTATGCTAAACCCACACTCATGTTTCTGTTGTAAAGGCACCATCTTTCCTACAGTAGCTTGGGTAATTTCTGAAGATGATTTGGACAGACAGACCTCATTAAAAGCTGAAAATGAGTGGAGTGAATATATGGCTGCTTTCTTCTTCAGCTGTAATTTAGCAGTTTTGCAGGTGCTACACTTGGGCTACTCAGGAGATGTTAACTAGTTCTGTGCTGAGATGGAGTTATTGTATTTGTACAGGTCTTTTATGGCTCAATAAAACCTTTTTCCCAAAATAATTGCACCATTATAAATTCTGTTTAATTTTAAATAGATTTTAAGTTGCTGACTTTCCCTGGGCTATGATTTGCTGCAGAAGTTTTCTCTAAATAATTATCTCTTGTGTAAATCTATACATGATTTTATTTTTCTGTTATTTTAGGGCATGGCTTTTACCTTGGAGGAGAGGCAACAATTGAATATTCATGGATTATTGCCACCTTGCTTTCTTGGTCAAGATGCTCAGGTTTATACAATTCTTCAGAATTTTGAAAGGCTGACATGTGACCTAGACAGGTAAAGTATGGCTATGAAACTTTATCCTACTCACCACTTTATGAGTCACTTTCATAAAAAAATTCCACTGTCACATTAGAAAAAAATCTATTCCTGCTTTAAAATTCTAATCTTCCAGAGCTGTTCACATTAATTTTCTTTGATAACCAAATGATTGATACTGGTTATTATCACCAGGTGATAAAGGTCACTGGAAGCAAATGAACACATGTGAAACTAAAAGTCAGTAATCACTTTACATGCACATAGATACATATGCATTAAAAAATAGTACATTTGAAAAATGTTATAAAACTAATATGTAACATAGTATTGCTGTGCTTGGGTATTTTTAAGGAAAAAATCTGGAAAGGGCTTTGTGGAGAGATAGAATGTAAGAGAATAGTGCAGAAGGCAATCTCACACCTGAGGAGTTGCAGCTGTGCCAATCACCAAAGATCAGGAACAGGCCTGCCCTTAATAGGCCGCAGCTGTGTCCAATAAGAAGAGGAGTGCTACAAAAGAGTGGGTTAGTTGGGTGAGGTGAGAATTGGAGTTTGTTGGTTGTGCTGCGAGGAAGGAGGAGTCAGTGTTGTAAGGAGGTGCCCATGAGAAATTGCCAAGAAGGTGTGGGACTTCTGCAATAAGATGACAACAGGGCTTTAAATATTTATGAATACTTAATTTTTTTCCTAAAGAAATTGTATTTTATAGGCTCTAGAACAAAAATTTGTTTCTTCATTTTTTTCCCCTCTGCCTTGCTCTTCTCTGTCATGGGATGTCTTCCTATCAGTATGTAATATATGGCCTCTAGGTACCCATCTGTTGGTGACAAGGCTTTTTTATAATTGTTGCCACAACCTTTGTTTTTTATAGAGTCAGGATAGGATGAGGACAGCCTTCCTTGCAAGTGAAGAGCTTGCAATTGTGGTGTCTTTTGTAGTTTAACTATTCTCCAGTGCTCTCAGGAAGGCCATTATTGTTTATTATCACAGAGTAGTAGGTTTCCAGGCTGGACTATTTATGAGTTCCTGCAAATAGAAAAGTGTAAATTTTCATGAAGCCCCCTTATTCAACCATTGATGTTACCATAGGAGAAAACTTTCTCTGTTCTTCTGTCCCCATCTCCTCTTTAACTCTGCATTAAGGTAGTCCCTTCATGATACAGCTCGTTGTTTCATGTGTTTGAGGACATTTAAAGCAGTTCCAACTGCTTGTTTCAGCTTGAATTGCCAGAATTTCTCTTCACCTGTAGCTTGAAAACGATAGGGAAAATGATCTTACCCCATTGTTATATGTTATATATAGTTTTTTAACTAGGAAACAATTTTGCTCCTACTTCAGGTCATAGCAGAAAAACACTCCTGCTTCTCAAAACATCACAGATGGAATGTTATAGATCTAGCTATTCAACATAGCAGTATTTTAGTATTTTAATTCTTTGCTTTTGTTAGCAAAAAATTCTGGATATTCAAGTGGCTTTTTGCCAAAATGAAAAATTTCTTCAGGAAGGAAGAAAGAATTAATCTATCAGTTTTAAATGACTGAGTATTGAAACTTTGAATGATGTGATTTTTGAACTGCAGTAAAACACTGTATGCTGAAATTTTGATTGCGCTGGGAATAATGAAACAAAAATAACTGTCTCCAAGTATTGTGGCAATACTTAGCAGCTATCTTCATTGTGTCAAAAAATAAGGAAAGATAAACCTGTCCGTCTTGGGGGTGGGGAAGGAAATATTTTTCTAAAGTGTAACTAATCCGTGTATGATAGACAAAAATAATACAGAAGTATAAAGAAATATAATGTGGTTATAAATAAATGTAAGCACAAACATTTGCTTCAGAGGATATTCTTCCAAAACTGCCCCTGTTAACCTTAAGATCTGTAAATACTTAATTAAACAAAACTTGGTGTCATTATTTCCCACCAATGAGTTTTCTTTGGCATTTTCTCTTTTTCAAATACATAGTTGGGTCAGGAAGAAATTTGTTTCCTGCTCCTGTGACCAGACATCTGTAAAACAGAAGCACTAACATTAAGTTATTCCATCCATGTGCCTTGAACATTCGACTGTAGCTTGCCATTTTGTACTCTAAAGATAGTTTTATTATAATGCCTGCTTTAGTATAAAGGTTATATTGTACTGTGCAGCTTCGCAGCACACATTTATTCTTGTTAATTCAGTTTTAGTGATGCAGTTCAACTGAGAAGTATTCACAGAAATAACTTGAAGCTATTACAAGTTAGGTTTTTCTCACTAATATGTCTATTAGTCAGAATACTTTAAATAAGGATTTAGTAATTAGCATCCAAAACAAGTGAATAGCTGTGTTTATTTTTCAGGGTTTTTTTTGTGATGTGTGTCTGTGCTATTTTCTCAGCTGTAATTTTGTAATGGTTCAAATATTTGAATCTTCTCCTTCCCCTTACAGTGTGAATAAACGTTGTGGCCCCATTTGTAATGCTGGAGAAGCTTTGGTGGGATCTCCATCCATGGGAGTGATTCCAAACCTGACTGAGCGTGGTCCTGGGCAAACTGCTCTAGTTGTCTCTGCTTTGAGGAGGGGATCAGATGAGGCAATCTCTTTTCTAACCTCAGCTAGTGTGTGCTTTCATAACTCAGGTCCATAGTAGTTAAGAAACAAATTCTCAGGGATAATCTTGGATTGATGCAAATTAAGTTAGGTCATCCCTTAAGAATATTAAATTATATAAGTCCACAAGTACCCCCCAAGTGGAATTTTTTCTTTAAGAAATCATATTTATACTCTGTTTGAACACCCAGCAGATCTCAACTGACTATTCATGTCATGCTATGTTTTGATAAAAAAATATTATCCTCATGTATTACTGGGGCTTTATATAGCTGTTATGTTTTCTCTATTTTTTTTAGCAAAATAACACTGTGTTACATGCAGAAGTCTGCATTTGAGACCACTGATGAAAAGACTTGGTAACATTTGCATGAAGAAGATACTTCCTTTTAAGATTGTAAACATTGACATCTTGGGCTCCTTTGTAGATAAAATTTGTCTGTGAATTGAGAGAACAAAAATCTGCAGGTGCAAAAATCTACATGTACAAAATGTGACTTGCAGGAGTGTTTGCAAGTCAAGTGTCTGACAATTTCATTGGAGTATGTCAGTAAAGAGCCTGCTTGCAGAACATGTGCATTACATGTGGTAAGCTCAGTCCTCAAGGCAATATGTGAACTCTGGTCTCCTATGTTTATAATCCTATCAAAGAATTTTAAAGAAGAGTGAATGTGATCCTGACACAATTATTCCTTGAATCTCTTCACTGATGAAGAATGTCAGAAGCTTTGGCTGTTTTAACTGGAACTTGAAATCTCAGGGGCTCCCTGTAAAGGCAGGTGCTCAAGGACAATCTTGCATAAGAGCATGCAGTTGTTGTCTTCTACGGAGTGTAAATGTCCTAATTTCAGGAAAATTCCCATGTTTCTTGCAGTATGCATCTGGCATAGTCTTTGCTCCCATAGAAACAGTTATTGAAAAGAGGTGAAGGGAGGCTGTTGTCTTCCTTCTGGAGTTTGGCAGTAGGTGTGTACTTGTGTGTTTTATGTCCAAATACCAAAGATTAAATACAGGTGTTTAGATATTGCAGGAGTGGAAGCTGTTAAATACCTTAGACAGAAAGGAATCATCTGATAAAACATTAATGCTGTGTATGGGAGCATTTTACACTGGCAAGATGGGCCTGGTTTTGCTTGGAAAGAGGGTGTATGTAAATTCATAAAGCTAAGTTGCTAGCCAGTGCCATGGCATGACATGTTTTGGCACTGCTGAAATGCTGTTGTGAACTTGTAGCATGAAACTGTTGTACTCTGAAGTACCAAGAGTTCATATACAAAATGAATGTGGAACAGCAGCAAGTCAATTGCCTGGGATGCTTGGCAAACAGGACACCAGTAAGAGGAAAAAATTCTATTCCTCCATCTTAATTTGGAAAAGCTATGATGGATTCTGCAAGTAATTTTTTTTGCTCCCCTGTATGTTCTTAATTGTCTTTCTTCTTGCTCTGTATTGATACTAAAATTTTGCTCCTGGCACAGCGACATCTTCTGCCTGAGCTTTTCTTTCTTCACGCTGTAAAACATTATACTGGATGTGTTAACATTAGAGAGGGGCCATCAAATTGCTTTTCCAGAGAAGATGGTCTTATTTTGTTTTTTCCTAAAGTTCTCTCTTTTTAATGAATTTTTATATGAATACTGATGAAGCAGAGTAATAGAGCTAAGTGTCTTACACAGGTTAAAAATAATAGCCTTTCCTCCCACCATCTTTGTTTACTCTCATATTTTTCAAGATAAGAGAAAAAAAAAAGTGGGATTTGTTCTATTTTCACCTCTCCACTTGGCCTTGTAAAGTGTATGCCAGTGATAGTTGGGCCAGTTATCCTAAGAATCATCAGTAACTTTCGGATATTTATATCAGTTTTCTTTTGGATTTTGGATGATGGGTGGGTTACATCCTTTTGTTGCTACTGTATTTCATTCCCTCCATAGTGTGAAACATTCTTAGGTGAAGTAAAGGCCTGGGGAGAAGAGTGACATGCTGAAATTTGAATGCTTGGCAGTTTTCTCTGTCTGACTTGCCAGACCTTGGTTTTTGTCCTCTGAAACTTTTCTCTGAAATCTTCACTCAAGACTCCTTGTCTGAGGACAGACAATACTTTTCTCCCTTTTTATAGCACAAGTGATTGTTTTCATTGTTTTATTATTTGTTTTCATTATGTTTTAGATTAAATATGGGTTTCAGTAAAAGATTCCATTAAATACTGAATTTTAAATATATTTTTAAACACAATGCTGAAAGGCACTTCATGCTTTTAGTTGTGTAGATACTTGAGTGTTGCTAAAAGATGCATACTTGTTGTCTAATGCATTATAAACAACCCTTCGCTGATTATGAAACGTTTTTGGTTTTCCCTTTAGAAATAATTTTTGAGAAATTTGATGCCCTTAACTAAGCAAATTGCAGTGCTGAGAAGGAAGACATATACCTGCCATTGAAAAAGCCTGATAAAAATTGCTCTTCCCTAGAAGTGTTTTTCACTTTATAATAGTATTTCTTATATTTTCAAATATGTAATATTTGAAAATATAAGTAGTATGCAGTTAGTCCTTTTGCAAGTTCTTTAGTATATCATGAACATAAAAGTGGCATGATAAAAACAAATGAGAAAATAAACCCTCAGTTTAACACTATACTATAGTAGAAATGGAGAGTTTTAACACATGGTTAAAACTGCAGGTTTTTCCTTTGAAGCCCCGAGGAAGCCTTTTGCTAAGCTTTTAGTTTCTTTTGTGAAAGATTTCTTTACCCTGTTTAAAATCTGGTCTTGATCTGAGTAATAAGAAATGATGATGAAAAGGTACTTTGTACTCTTAAGCCACTCCTCATTTTAAAAGAAATTGATAAAAAAAAAAAAAAAAACAAAAAAGCCCCCCAGCAACTGCTTAGGAATGGTGCTGTGGCTCACATGGTGTTGAAATGTCCAGTATAGAATGGGGGCCAAAAATATGCATGATGTTCTCTAACATCACTTTAAATGTTCTCCAGAAACAAAAGGAAAGTCTTTATGTGTATTTACAACTACATGTGCAAGAACTTGTATTTCAGGATAAATGTTGGAATAGTCCACCCTCAGGAGAAAGGTTTTAATAAAGAAATGCTCTGAGAATTCAAGGACATTGCAATATATGCTATATCATAATGAAATACTGGGAAAATGAAAGGCTCTAGGGAAACGTAATAATATGAAAGAAAATTAGCATGTATGTATGTATATTTGTAGCTGAGAATTACAAGAGCAGGATGTAATTTAACCTTGGAGAACATTCAAAACTAATGTGTGTGATGGAAGGTGGTCCCAGCTGCCTCATGGTGATGGTATTTAGAGAAACTACAACTTTTTGGTTCCTAGATCTTTATCTGTTTAGGGTCTAAAATACCCTTCATGACACAAGGGCAGGGATATTGTTTTGTCTCAATTCTGTCACCTCATTACAGTCACCAACTGCCAAACTGGCTTCTCTTGCCTTGTTTATAGTGCTGATTAAAGGTTTACAGAACAGATCCCAAAAGGAGTGCTTCCCTGATAGACAGGGATAGGCAATCTAAACTTGAATGGAATGCATTCAGATTTACTAAGCTGCTCTTTGGTTACCTGACTATATTTGTGTCTTCCTAAAGAATGAATTGGATTTTATTGGGGCATGTGGTGCCTAAGTATGCAGAAGGAAAGTTCATATTAATAATAGTTAAGTACACAAATCTCTAGGCTTTTGGAAGGAATGTGTTTTATACGTGTCTTCAACACTTGTGTAATAAAATGGTGGGCATATTAAACTTTTTGAGTGTAAGTAATTAGTAATCCATTGCAAATTTAAAAAGACTCTACATAAATTGTATACGTAAGTTAAAGATTTTATATTATCCCATTGGTGTATAAGACTACTTATTTTTTACAGGAATACTTAACATTGTTAAAACTAGTGAATAGACAGGTAAGGTGTAAGATCACTAAATTTCTAAATTTTAAGTGTTCACAAAGTGACAATCATACCTATGTGAACTGGTATAACGTGAAGTCTCTCATAGGCTGATATAATTTGTGACACTCAGCCCTGGCATTTGGGTTCCTGATTGGTATCTTGAAACAGTAATGTAATTATGCAATGTAAGTGTGATGGTAGTAAAAAGTAGTTCAAGCTAAACATGAACTTTCTTTCAGTCTTATTTATATGGTTCTTTTCTTCTCATTGGTTTTCTTTTAAAATAAATATAGAACTTCCTCAAAATTGGTTTTAGTTAGGAAATATAACATTGCAGATTTCAAGTCAAACATAGACTTAGGGGATGAGAGGCCATGTGTGTCTGCTTTGTTTTCAAAAGCTTTGTTTTTCAGTATTTATTTGAAGTATTAGTCTGGATTTAAGATAAATTTCTATCTAGGAAAGAGCATGCAAAGCTTAATGTTTTTACTTCTATGTTCTTTGGGCAAGTGAGTAAGCTTAAGTTATATTTAATGCTGGTCTCATTTCAAGTGGAACAACTGATATACACAGATAAGGTTCTGACAGACTAAATCCTCAATTGCAGCACAGTGTTTTATACCTGAGAGGGATTATCTTCCTGAGTGTGTAGAGTTTGACAATGTTGTGATGGCTTCAGGTTCTCTGTGTCAACCAGTTTGTTATACGTTGTGTCTGAACCATTTGTGCTGTTAAGACTAGGAGGAATTTGAATACTTTCAATAAGACAGAGGCTATTATAGAACAAACATAATTTTAACTTTCCAAACACCAAATCTATTTCTAAATGTACTTTATATGTTCCCTTGATGTCTGTCTAATTTTATGTAAATCTCCACAGATACATGCTGCTAATGAGTCTTCAGGATCGAAATGAAAAGCTTTTCTATAAAGTGCTGGCTTCTGACATTGAAAAGTTCATGCCTATTGTTTATACTCCCACTGTGGGACTGGCTTGCCAACAATATGGTTTAGCATTCCGGAGGCCAAGGTATGTGAGTTTATACTTCAAATAAAAGTAATTGAATCTTATTTTCCTCTTGGCAGATTTCTGTAGGGGTTTTCTAACAGCTGCATGTAAGCCAAAACTGCAGTAATTGAGATCATCCAAGCTACACTTTTGGTCTACATTAAGCAATAATTTGTGCATTTCTTATCTGCATTAAGAAGGCAAAGGGTTGGTTGATTTGCATTAAAACATGAGTATATTTTTAATCTTATTGACCAATTATAGCTATTAAATTGTATAGTATATGTACCGTATTATACTGTATAGTGTTACTATTATATTGTTTTAGAATCCTAGCATATTAGAAGAAGACAGGAGAAGAATGGAACTTTAGTTTTAGTTTTGTTTTAGAAACTTGAAAAGCATAGACTTTTTCCTGTATAAATATTTATGTAATTGGTATTTTATACATACACACACACATATAAATGTGTTCAAACAATATGTGTACAAACTAAGAATGCATTATATATGTATCTACTGATATCTTAAAAATTATCACAAATCATCAAAGTGCCTGTTTCACTGCTTAATGATTTCTTGCTTCATAGGTTGGTTACTGGAGTGTTTTTATTCTGTGTGCAATATCTGTATTTATAAAATGATGAGGAAGGGGTATGAAAGAAGGATGGACACTTCTGTTTCACTCTGCCTCTTGAACATGAACTCACCGAGTGTGAGTTGCTGTTTGAGAACATTGTATATGTCACTGCCTTCATGTGCAGACTGGAACAACACCTTGGAGCCTTCTGCAGAATTTTCTGGCAAAGAGAGAGATAAATGAGCTGTAGCTGTTAACAGAAATAGGTTTTTTACAGTGAAGGCATTGATCAAAAGTAAGAAGCTTGCAAGATGTAAGGGAACAAATGACTGCTTACAAATTCCTCAGCAGGAGATATTTCAGAGAGATTTATGGCTTCAAGGTTTTGTCCTTAATGTGAGAATCATTTTGGCCTTGTGACTGATATAATGAGTCAGGACCATCTGGTCGACCGCAGAAAACAAGAATTCCCACTTCTGTGCATATTAAAAAGTTCAAAAATACCTCAAGAATCCTTATTTAAACTTATGTAATGATCTGTGGCTTTTAGGTGCCTCCCTTAGTAAGAGAACTCATCTCCTTTTTCTGCCCCCGTATTTGCCACCATGGTGATTTTATTGGCCTTCTAGGAAGTGCTAAATGTGTCTGGAAATTAGGTCTTTGCTTACACTGGTTTCATTACTCCTCATTTTGATATTCTTTGCATGTAAAATATTTCACAAGGAGCACCTCTGCCCATGGATGTACTTTTCCCTTTCTCCCAGATGTGTGAAGCATCTGTGGAGAAAAACAGTTTAATTAGAGTCATGGAATTGTTAAGTTTTCAAAAGACCAAGGTCATTGAGCCCAATTTTTGACTGAAAACCACCATGTCAAACTAAACCATAGCACATTTCTTGAACACTTCCAGGGATGGTGACTCCACCCCCTCCCTGAACTGCCTGTTCCAATGCTTAACCACCTTTTCAGTGAAGAATTCTTCTTGATGTCCAACCTGAAACTCCCTGGCAGAGCTTGAGACTATTTCCTCTTATCCTGTCATTCATTGCCTGCCAGAAGAGTCCAACCCCTGCCTGGCTAGAACCTCCTTTCAGGCAGTTGATAAGGCAGGGTGATAAGGTTACCCTGAGCCTCCTCAGGGCTAAGCAACCCCAATTCCCTCAGCCACTCCTCCCATGACTTGTGCTCTAGAGCCTTCATCACATCTTTTGCCCTTCTCTGGATGTGTTCCAGCACCTCAGTGTCTCCTTTGTAGCAGGGTTGGAATGAAGTGATCTTTAAGGTCCCTTACGATCCAAACCATTCTGTGGTTCTATGATCTTTAAACAGACTCTTTCCTGCTTGAGAAAATACCCACAATGCAGTCTTCCACTGTGCCGTTAGAGATATGTTTTTTCCCCTGAGAAAAAGATTTTCTAGATTATTTCAACCAACTATGCAAAGCAACCAATATAATTTCGTTTAAAATTGCATTCTAGACCATCACTTAGTTAGCATTAAGCCTTATATACCAGCATACCTCATAAAACAGCATCCTTAATGAGATGGATGGAGAAGAAAATATAAACATCAAATTTAATATTCTGCAGGAGAAAAGGAGTAAAAGATGTAAGATTTAGTCCAGGCTATATCATCTTACAATTTTGATGGATTTTTTTTTTCAAGAAGTTGCGATCGAGGAACAACGTATAATCTGATCATACCTTGAAAAAAAGTATTCTCACTGTAAGAACTGTCTGTATCTGCTTTATGCTGACTCATATGAACGTGCTGTCTTTACAGAGAAGTGACTTTTTCTTTCACAATGGTTTTTTATTTCAGAATATTTTTTAATATTGCCTCTTCCCACTGTTTGCTATTTCATAGTTTAATACAGATCCTGTTAGAAATGGACTTGGAGGTAAATGAGTTAAAAATTACTCATTTGCTGCAGATCATATTTATCTCACTGCAGTTTGTAAAGCAGTGTCATATTTAGTTTATGTCTGTAAGGATGTTTTCCAATATTCAGTTATACTTCTTTACTTTGTGAAATGAGTTTGAAGCGCCTGGCTTGCAAGTTATCTCTTGAGGCAAGGAACAGCAAAATTAATTTAGAGTTGAAAAAGTAGGTTTCTCATGGAATCATTAAATGAGATCATCTTCTGTGACTCCCTTATGTGTTTTTAGAAGACTTTATGGGCTCACATGATGTGCTTACAGTCACAGAAGGACTCTGGCTCAGGAAAAGGTTTTCATCCTGAAGCAATAGTTTGCAATTTTAGAATAAACATTCATGACTGACCAGCTGACCATCTGATTAAGCATCATTTCTCAGGTGAACCAGCTGCAAAGTAACTTGACTCACTGGTTTGAAGCTCATCTATATAATTGACATTTTTCTATAATAGTCAACTATTGAGACTCAAGTCAAGATTGCATTACTTCCTCTGAATAGTCAGCTTTAAATCCACCAGTTTAATGAAGAGTATTGTTATAAAAGTAAACACTACAGGTCTGATAGCAGATCTGTAACATGCACCTACCTACACCACATTGTTATGTAAGCATAATTTAGAAGACCAGTCTATATGGTCTTCTTCCTAACTGTTGAGGGGGATGAGGGAAGAAAGGATCCTTCAGAGAGTTGGTCAGAGAAGGAATTTGGACCTGTATAGATAGAAGGTTACTTATGCTAGGAATATAGTGAGGTTCTGCTTCTATTGTAATGCTCATGTTATCATTAAAAACATTATCTCAGAATCTCTATTAGATCACTTGTTGGTTCAGAGCTTCTCTCCATCATTTAAATTCCTAAAGAAAAAATTCTTCAGTTGCACAAGGCATGTACATAGATATGACAGCTTTTGATTACTTACCAAGAAAGAATCTATTTCTGTAAATAGATTTCTTAAATACAACAGTTCTTTCATCCAACAAGAATAAATATGGGAAAGCTCAATGGAAATTTCCTCTAAGAATCCAAAATCAACTTTTTACATTGTATAGAGAACACCCAGGAGTTTTAGATTCTTGTGTAAACTCAGCATTCAGAGAAGGGAGGTATAATTGCCAAGTACTGCTATGCTGAAGACTTTGGACGTTGTTAAAATGTTAGGTGACTGTTTATATATTGCCATTCCTAGAAAGAAAAGCCATTTCAATCAGAGTATGACCAGAGCAAGCCTGAGTAGCTGATGCAGTTACACAGGCACGGCAGAGTTCTCTGAAATAATTTCCCAGTGCAGGCACAGACTATCAGGCTGACTAGGAACCGTTTTTAAAGCAACTCTGTTGGATCTGGTGCAGTCTCTTAAAAGGCAAAGTATGTTAGCTTTGAAATTGTTTACCAGATTAGCTCCTCACTGAAGTGTGTAGTCACTCAGCGCATACAAATTTGAGACTTAACCCTTTCCTTATGTTTCTCAAAAAGAATGTATTTATTTAGATTTATTTTATATATTTACATTTACAATGATTCAGATGCATGATATTGAATGCAAATGTGAGTTCTTTTTTGTTGACAAATATTTACATGCTGAGATTGCCAGCTGCAAGATAGCATCACTTTTTAATAAAGAAAAGAAATAGAGCATGGGGAAATATTTATTTTCTGTGACAGAACATGCAAAATGTTAGACCTTGGCATCAGAAGCTGTAGTCTGCTTGCCAGCACAAGGTTGATCCCTTGATACATTTAATAATATTTTTGTGGTTTTTAAGGAGGCTTTTATTGGAATTATTTTTCTTAATTTCAGTGGATATTTGTGGCATCCAAGTCTCTTCAAAAACCAGATTTGGCTTAGTGGAGGCCAGAAACTTTTCAAGTACTCCGTGGTCATATGAGCCAAGAAAGTTCAGTTCCTGGAAGTTTTTTGAGACTCTGTCCCTCCTTCAGATCTGTGGTGTTGTCTTGATTGAGACTACTAGAATGTCTGGATTTATTTCAGACATTTCTGGTTACTTCTTCACCAGTATAACAGCTCCCTTAGGTTTCCTTTCAGCACATCTAGATGTTTTTGCCTCCCCTAGATAAGCATATATTTGTATACATATGTTTATTTAGGGATTTTATTTCATTTAGTTAGACGTTATTATTTTGTAACATAAAATTATATTAAAAGATGTAACAAAGCACTAGTTTCACAGTTATTTTTCCTAGTGTTTTCTTCTCTGAAAACTATATAGAATTTTAATCTGTAAGTGGAAAAAAGGAAATGTGCAGGCTTTTTAACTGATCTCTTGTAAGGTCTTGACTGTTAGGACAGCATATGCAATCAAAATATTTTGCAATTAAGGCATAAAGAACAGCAAAATGTTTCTTTGAAAAGAAACTGTTCGAATTCTGTTCTACAGAAGGATCTGGTTTGAGTGGCAAATTATTTTGTAGCATTTCAACAGAGACTTAGTATACCTGTAGCATTTCTTCTGATTTTAGACAGCCTTGTGCTTAATGGCTTCT